TTTTTATGTATTTCCTTTTTTTATTTCAGCTTCATAGTATAGTTTCAAATACAAGAAGTGACTGAACAGATTGAGTGCTTATTATTTTAGAATGATGTTTTATGTTTAACAGACTTCTCAGTTTGTTTCTTTTCTCAGTTTCATAGTATAGTTAATGCCAAGAGTGACTAGAGACATTGTATATTTAACTCTGGTTTTTAAATGATGTTTCATGTACTACTCATTTCTCACTTTCGTTTCTTTTTTTTCTCAGTTTCATAGTATAGTTTCTATCAAGAGTGTCAGATTTGACTTTTTTATCATTAAATGATAAAAACTGTTAGTTTCAAAGTATAGTTTCAATACCAGAAGTGACTGATCAGATTGAGTTTTTATCATTTGAGGTTGGATTCTGAAATAATGTTCCAAGTTCTCCAAATTTTGTTTCTTCTCTTGTTAATTTTATAGTATAGTTTCAAATATCAGAAGTGACTGCTTAGACTGAGCTATTGACAATTAAGATGGTTTTAAAATGATGGTACATGTACTACTCACTTCTCACTATTTTTATTCTTCTTTCTCAATTTCATTGTGTCATTTAAAATACCAGAAGTGACTGATTAGAGTGAGTACTGATAGTTTGAGGTTGATTCTGAAATGTGTCACGTTTTTCTTCGTTTTCACTATTAGTTTTTCCTTTTCTTAGTTTCATAATTATTATAGTTAAAAGCAACAAAAGTGACAGATCAGATTAAGTTCTTATCATTTAAAATTGGTTTTAAATTAATGTTTGATGTACTATTCACTTCTCAATATTCGCTTCCTTCTTTCTGAGTTACACAGTATACCGTGGGTCAGGTTATATTTGCGGTTGCTAATATTTCCAGTGATAAAAACTAATAAAGAAGTTCAATTAAATGCATTGGAAACAAATTGATTGTTGCCATGGCAACTGACCACGTGCTTATACTGTTACAGTGTTCAGCAGCTTATCAATTCTTGAGCAGCTTCAGTGGAGCCATACAGACTCAAGTTCTCTATCCCTAACTTCTTGTATAGATAGACTCAGGGGCGGATGTAGGGGGGCCTGGGGGGACCAGGGCCCCCCAAAAAATTTTCCTGGTGAAGTATTGCACTAGTTTTAATAGTCATTAAAGGCTTGCGTTTAAAGTCAGTTAATGATAAGGCAGGGGGCACTCCTTGACATTCGCGTGGTTTATCCTCGTGGTCAGTTGTGTTGATTTGAGTGCTTGAGTGGCCAAGATTTGGTTCTTGGCTGTGTACTTTTGTTTGACAACTCTCTTTCTTCCTCTTTTTATTTGCTTGTCATACCAAAAACTCGTCGGGCTGGAAGACATGGATGTGGTTCTGGCTGTCTTGAGAGGGAGCAGGTTTCACTTCGCCAGTGCCTGGTTGCGGCTGTCTTCGTCGTGGTCTGCCTCTCACCAGAGCCAATTTGCCTCTTCCTGTGTTTGCGCCAGTGGTGCAGGATCCTGGTCCATCTTCGTCAGCTCTTTTCAAGTTTTTAGCTCTTATCCACCAGAAGGTTTACCAGATGGTATCAATACCCCAGGTGGTATCCAGGACCAGTCTGGTGCTCCATTGGTGCCTGCTGACCCAGTACCCAGCCCCCCAGCTGACCAACCATCTGGCTTGCTGGCTGGTGTTGTAGGTAAGATAATCCTGTGGGTATTTATTGCCTGGGGTATTGAGTTTTGTTATTTACGGGTGGTTTTGTTTGCTTGTATGGGGGGGCGGGTTGTGTTACTTGTTGTTTGGGCATGTCCTGGCAATTTTGTCCCAATCCCGGAGGTTTTTCTTAGCCGAATTCATCACATCACTGTCTTCTGTTCTCCCTTATTTGTGTTTTTATCTTGTTGCTTCATTATCTGACCACGGTATGTGGCTGTCCAAACTTTCTGGTTAAGAACTCTTATTTTGTCAGTTTAGTTTGTTTTGGTAGGGTGTTGCTATTGATGTTGGCGAGGGTTGGGGTGGTTGCGTCTGTGATGTTGCAGGGGTGTGTTGTATGTTGGCTGAGTGGTAAGTCAGCTTGTGTATGGCATACGCTGCTGCCTGGATTTTCTTTTCCTTTGGTTTTTCAGCGTGTCCACAGTTCCTTGTTTCCTTGCAGGACTCCCCACTCAGTTGAGTATTCTGCCTTCCGCAGCTTCCATGGCAGCAGTAACTTTTTTTCGGCATCTCCGCTGCAGCCAACAACACTTCCTCTTCAGTCAATGGCTCATGTTCCAGTATTGGGGATGTCACCGTCATTTGACCCTGCCAACCCTGGTATGTCTTCCCAGCATACTCTTGTTGTGCTGCCCTCTGCGGCAATTGGTGCGCCAGGGCCTCCCGCTGCCCTTGGTATCTCCTTGTCTCTATCAGCTGAGCCTATCCCAGCAAGGCTAGTCCAGAAAATCCAAAGTGGCCAGTTTGTTGAGATGAGGGAGCTGCTTGGTGATAACATTGCGCTCACAGCATTTTGAGTTGTCTGCTGGTTACTTTACCATGGTTTAGCCATCATCAGCTCGCCCACACCAATGAGACATATCCACTCTTCCCTGGTGGATTTATTGTTTCTTTACCTACCTGGCTGTTTTAGTCCAGGACCAGTTTATCCTTGTGTGTGCCATGTCCCTAGTTCGGGAATTACTTTGTCATGGGGGTCGGGGCTGGTTGGATTACAACCAGCTGTTTTGGCAGCAGGCAGCCCAGGATCACTCTTTGTCGTGGGATACCTTGCATCCAAGCTTGGTGGCTTCTACCATTCTGAGCCAAAGTGCGGGAAGTGGTACTTTTTGCCGGGTGTGTCAGGGCTGTAACCATTCATCTGCTGAGTGTACTTTGTTGGCCCTTCAGCCTCCAGCTCAGCATAGGGAGTCCCAGCCAGGGTTCTGAGGTCTTCTCAGGTTTGTCTCACCTGGAATGAGGGTAGGAGTTGCCTGTGGTATCTCTGGCGGTGTTGGT